TGCTACACCGGCTAATTCAAGTATGGTAGGTAGAATATCCATGACAGTACAAAATTCATGTGATACTCGTCCTGATGTTGACGTTAATGGACTATAATGCACAATGGCCGGACATCGAATTCCGCCTTCTGTAATGTGTCCTTTCGTCATTCGATATGGCGCCATTGCTGCATGTGCCCATTGTGGACCATACCAAATATAGGAAGTTTTTGTACCAATATTTTCATAGGAATTATCAAAGTATACGACACTATTATCAATCGATTGAAGTGGAAGTGCCTCGAGAACAGCTCCTTCTGCTCCATTGTCGGACATGAAAAGAATAAATGTATTGTCGAATTGATTCGTTCGCTGGAGATAGTTGACTAAGCGACCGATATTATAATCCATGCGGTCAACCATGGCTGCGTAGATTTCCATGGTTTTCGCCGAGAACGCTCGTTCTTCGTCAGACATTGAGGCCCATAATTTCTCGATTGTCGACAACGTTGCAGAGACGACATCAGGAGGGAGCAAACCCAATCGTCGTTGACTTTCAAGTCGAGCAGCACGCAATGCATCTGGTCCTGCGTCATATCGTCCTTTGTACTTCTTAATCAACTCATTCGGGGCTTGTAAAGGCCAATGTGGAGCAGTAAAAGCAAGATAGGCAAAGAACGGACGTTCATCATCTTCATCGAGAAATCGAATCAGTTCCGATGTGAAATAATCTGATGAATAATAGTCCATAGGCAGAATTGTATGATTAACAAATTCGTCATCTCGTGCATATAAGGAAGGTTTTAAGGCAAATACTGTCTCCTCTTCTGTTGTTCCAAGTTCATAATTGAAATGATTGCCAGCACCTCGTAGCAGTGCAAAACTCTTTTCGAAACCTCGCTTTGATGGAAACCGCTCCTTTGTCAATCCTAAATGCCATTTTCCAGTCATCATTGTACGATATCCACCTATGTCTTTGAGGATTTCTGGAAGAGCGGCAACTCGTTTGTTTAAATATCCTTCATATCCTTGTTTTCCACCCCAAATTTCTTGATAATGTTGTATAGTATCACTCATTTGTCCAATACCAGCTAGATGATGATCAGTTCCACTGAGCAACATCGAGCGTGTAGGAGAACATGCTGAAGCTGTGTGAAAGTCGGTAAAAAGAGTTCCATCATTGGATGCGAGGAACTCGAGGTTGGGTGTAGATATTTCAGATCCATAGGGTGAAATATCTGTATAGCCAAGATCATCCGCGACGATGATAAGAAAATTGGGACGAGACGTATTTAATAGATTATGCTGTAGACCAGTAATGACTACAAATAAGAATATTAACCAAAGCACTGATGTAAACATTTAGAAAATCTCTCAAACAATGTTTTTATTTATGCAAGCTTTCGATAAACACTTCGAGTATCTTGAGGCAAATGAAAATTTCTTTTTGAGTATATAACATTTTGATCTGTTTTATTCGCTCTCCCTCGTAATCCAGTCTATTATTTATTCATCCTCTTTCTCCATCATTCAAATTGATATTCTTCACAACTGTAACGGCCAGGATTAATGTTTGTTCGCATGTTCTATATGAATCAGCAGCGACTATAAGAGTCGTGACGAACGTCGAACGAAACATCGGACGAAAAGGATGAATAAATAAGAGACTAAAGTACGAATTAGAACGAATCAAACAAATCAAAATGTGAATATATTTGAGGCGATGAGACATACCGGTAGACCTCATTATATTTTAATCCTTTGATGACAGATAACGTATATATATGCATATTGAGTTTCTACACAGGTTAGAACTTTTATTACGTCGATTTTGCCCGGCCTATAAAAATATTCTCTGTTTCTGTGATTATCGCACATAATACCATTATAAATATGTATCAAGAAAAAAACAAAGAATTTTCAATTTTGGAAGATTATGAGAATCTATGAAATCTTTAAACTGAGAATTTTTTTATAGTCTCATGGACTCAAGCATAATTCTGTAAAAGTCACATAACTTGCTTCTCTTCATTGTTGTTCCCTGCTTTTTTCACAGCAGCTAACACAGCGTCTGTGAACAATTCGTACAGATCCTTCCTTTTCTTCGAGTGCGTATTTTGAAAGGCTTGTTGATTGGTTTCTTGGACCAGGTTTGAGCTCTTGAAATGGCATAGTCAGAAGTAAAGACTGCGATAAAAAAGAAAACCAACTGACAGCATAGACTGAAAAAGCCAATACATCCGAGAACGAGTCTGTTAGAGCTGCTGTCTAATAGAATTGAATCGTCTTCAATCTGTTAATCCACAATAAAAGAGAAAGAAAATCACCGTTTGTTTGTAAATGACTAAAATGTCAGTAAAGAGCTTGCACAAATAAAGAGATAAGTATTAAATCTTGTGACAATGCAACGCTTTATATTCTCATTTGAAACGAAAACGAACTCAAAAGCATACAAAAAAATTATTCTTATTACTAGCTATTTATATTTATGCACTCGGAGGAAGACAAAAAGCTAATAAATGTAGGATTAAAAAGTGCGACGACAAACTTTATCGATCATATTAAAATGTCAATTGTGTACTGATAGTTTGTCAAATGTCCTACAAAGTGTAGGATTGCAAGCGCAAGTATTCGTCTTGAATTTGACTTTGCATTTCGATTAGAGTTCAAGTAATTTCAAATTGTATGTCATAAAATCTTTCTCGTATCATTGGTGTGCTATGACTCATTTGTGATGCTCTTATTCGATTCGAAAATGATTTCAGTAACAATAATATTCAAAATAATATCTCTCAAAGTCAAATTAATCGATATTTCCATCAATCACTTTGATCGTTGATCAGTTTAAAATGAGAGAGGCTTTCTATTTGGCTTCGCCTGGTGTTAGACGAAAACTTTAATCGAAATCGCTTTTGAGTGAGTGACAATCAAGTGATATACAAGTAAGAAACTTTTTTCATGACAATGGTGATAATAACGGGTAAAATGTAATGATGATGATAAGTTTTTTTAGCAATGGTTACAACTTCTCTTTTCAAGTAGATGAATTTTTTGTCATCATTTGCATCTTCAAAAACAATTATTTCATCAATTCTAAATTTCATCTCTGTAAACGATAATACAAAACTAAATGATTCATTTGTTTCTTATCTAATAGAATAAACATATTGCAAATATGAAGAAGTTAAAAATCGATATATTCTTATGATCATTTTCTATTTTCTCAAATTTTCTACACATATTTTTTCTTATCGATGCACGAAATTACTTCAATGAAGATAAAAAGATTATTTTCATACCCATTTCCTATCAATAATAGTCTAAGATGTTTTACATGAAAATTCTATTGATTGAAAACAAGGAAATATCTTTTATTTTGAATCAATCTTCATTAATTAATGATATTACAATAAAACGAGATATTATTTTTTTTATAGATAAAATTTATATTTTTTTTACAAGTACTTTTATCAATCGTAAACATTTAAGTTCTATGGTACATCTCGTCATTCATCCATAAATTTCCATTTTTATCAAATAGTATTTGAGTTTCATCTCATTAATTGATCTCTTCCATGTTCTTTCATCGAGTGTTCTTTATTGCTTAAAAGTGATAAAAAGTTTATTAAGTTTTTTCTCCGCAAATTTGATTTATGATTTCAAAGGGAACTCTCTATGAATATTAATTTCAAGTATTGATAATGCTTAACGAACTCTATGATTCAATCACAAGTGAGATTTATTTAGTTCTGCAATAAATATTATTTACATAAGAGTATGGGTTGGTGCATAGTTCAAACTTGACCGGCAAACGGGCACTGGACTGGTCGGTTTCTTTGCCCTCTTTTTTTTATTAGTTTTGAGACACTAATGTTGACTTATATTCAAAGTAAATTCACACCCTCATAGACATCCACAACCACAAAAGTACACCTTCAAGAGCTCACTGGGATCTATTCTACATATTGAATTTTACGCTGAATCTACTGATAATATTGAATTAATTTTTTGACTTTTCTTCAGATGCAAATTGAGTATGACATATAGGAACGCTTACTAGACTGATGCTTGTCGAACGGTGGAGACGACACGTGTCCAACATGACTCTATGTCGAGATACATCTCTTTCATTTTAGACGTTACTTTGGTTTTTGTTTCAATAAAAATGATGCTATTTGTAGACTTCGAACTGTGGATAAAATATAATTGTTTTTACAACAAGAAACACTTTATTTTTATTGTGCATATTCTTAATAATGATCATTGACAGAGGAAAAAATATTATAAAGATAACTCAAATAAACATAAACAGAAAACACATAAGTACTCAACATACATTCAGATAAATTTGACATAGAATCGATATGATTAAGATAAAAGAAATATTCTGAAAGACATGAATCATTTTTCTATTTGTTAATTTTTCGGTTATAACAATATGGAAAATCGAAAACAATATATATATATTATATTTTATATAGAAAATTGTTAATTTTTTGTTTTTGGTCGTGCTTATATTGCCCTTTATAAAAATCAAAACGAATAAGACAAACAAACAACATATTGAAAACAATAGTCATATTGTATACAAGAATAAATGAGAAGCGAAACAAATTGAAAAACAAAATAAATATATAATTATTCATAAAATTTTATTTCATTCATCATCAAATGTATCAACTGCATCATCATAATCACTCGTATTAGTACTATTATTACTGCTGGAAGTTGATATAAATGAATTTTGATGATTTCTAGAATAGATGAATTCATGAATAGTGGTTAGTATAACGAAAAACCAAAAAAAAAAACAAATCACATATCTCTATATATATATGTATACACAGAAAAGCAAAAGCAATAATGAAATGCTCGATATCGCATATATATAAAAAAAAAATACTTAGAAAACACAAAAAAAAAATAATACAATTATATGAAATAAACAAAAATCGAATAATTTTTTTTCTTTTTTTAAATATTTCAAATGAAATAATATTTTCTTATAATCATCAATGAAATCAAATATCATTATTATTTTTTGTTCTTTCAGAATTATTATTAATCCAATTTTCAACATTTTTTCTTTTAAAATTTGCTGAATTTTCTTCTGTATCTTCATGTATAGATTTTAAACGATTTTCATCATTATCATTAATTATTTCATTATTATTATTATTATTATTATTCATTAATATATTTTTTGATTGTTCAAAATAATCTTGTTGTTCAATTTGACTTATTATACTACAACCAGATGGTGTACGTGAATGTGTTTTAATATGATGTTTCATTTGTACAGATGTATCATTAATAATACTTGTTGCACCATCTGATAATGTTCGTTGATGATTTTTTTTTGTTGATGTTTTATCTATATCAAATGTTCCACTTGATGCACGTGTATGTTGTTTTTTAATTGAATTAATTAATTGTGGATCAATATAAATTGTTGATGTATCTGATGTTTGTCGAGAATGTGCATAATGTGCTGGAACTTTTGGTAAAACTTTTGATAATGATTCATTTGGTATTATATTAACAATATGTTGACGCTGTTGTTGTTGTTGTTGTTGTTGTTGTTGAAATGTTCGATGAAGAATTTTATAAAATTCACGACTATTTAAACCATGTGATGGTGTTGTTATTATTGTTTCATCATGATTTAATATATTATCAATAATTTGTTTATATGCATGTTGATTTTCATATGTTATATCAATAATTTGTTTATATATATGATCAACACCACTATAATCAAATATTCCAATAGTTGATATACGTGAACTTTTATTTAAACATCGACCTAATTTTTGACGATTAAGTGTAAATATATATGGAATATTATGTTCTTTACATAGATTTATAATTTTATCAATAGCATCATTAAGACCACCTTGACTTTGTATTGATTGACAATCAGGTGCAATTAAAACACATTTTAAACGTTGTAAACGTAAATGTTTTGTTACTTCACGTATACCATGTACATAACGACGTTTACGACGTGCACGTTCAGGATTTGATTGATATTGTTGTTTTTTACGATCTTGAAAACGTTTTAATGTTATTAATAATTGTATACATAATTCATCTAATTGACGATCAATTAATTGTGAACAATATTCACGAAAACCAGCATCATGAATTTGTTGTTTTATATTTGATTGAGGTATTTGTTGAGCATAAGGTGTTTGTAATTGACTTGTTGGTTCATGATCAAGTATTTCATCATCATCATCATCATCATCATCATTATCATCATCGGTTTCATTATTTGATTCTTCTGTACAGGATGCACTGGTATATTCATTCATATTAACAGGATATACATTGAGAGAATGTTCATTGATACAACTGAAACGAATCAATATTGACATCGAATAATAGTGCATGCACAATCAAAAGCTGAATGGAATTTTTTTTTTGCTCAATGCACACAGAACAAGACAAAAGCAAGAATAATTGTTTAAGGATAAATTTTAGATAAGAAAAGCATTATTTATACTAATAATAAGACATGCAGAAGAAAAGAAAAGAAATTAACTTACTCATCTGTAACAGTAAGTTTATTAGTATCAGTTTCATATTGAATATCATTTTCATCAGTTTGTTTAGTTGTTGAAGATTTTATAAGTGATTGTTGTCGTTGTTTTTGATTTTCTTCAAGTTCTTTATTAATAATACGTTTAAGTTTAGTTGGTTTACGTGGTTTTGGTTGTTCACGTTCTTTTCCACGTTTTGGTGCTGGTTTTGAATCAAGTGGATTAGCAATATTCACTGTTTGTATTGATGATTTATTTGTTTTATTAAAAGAATTTTCTTTTTTTGTTTGTGTTGATGTACTTAAAGCATTGAACATATCTGTTAAACATATTTGATATGTTTGATTTGCTTTTATCTTTGATTTAGGAATCAGTCCTGCAGTAGAAACTAAGAAAGAAAAACATATGTAGATTTAAAAAAAAAAACAATTGTGTTTTTTTTTTTGTGTACTTTTATCTTTGGTTGAAGAATCATTTTCTGTTGTTTTTGTTATTGCTATAGATACATCTTGTCCTAATGTTGGAAATGCATTTTCATCATCAAGTACAAATGGTACTGATTCAATTATTGTTGATTGTTCTTCTTTTACTTTATTTTTTTGTCGTTCAGAACGTTTTTGTTTTTGTTTTGTTCGTATAGATTCATCATTTTTTTTATCTTGTTTATTCAATACATCATCATTATTAGTTAATGTTTGTGAATGTTGTTGTTCAGTTAAAGAAGATTGTTTAAAAGTATTATTTGATATTTTTGATTTTGATTGTATTGAAGATTTTTTGTTTTTAGAAGATTTTCGTTCATTTTTGGATAGTTTTTTTTTATTTGATGAATGACTTCGATCAGTTTGTTGAGTTTCAGATAATTTTAAAGAATTAGTAATCGAATGTGGAGATGTGGAATGAGGTCGTGGAGTAGAAACAATAGTATTCCAGGATGTTGTTGGTCTAAAGAAAAAAAAAAAAGTAATAAGTTTTTTATGAGAAAAATGCAAAATATATTCAAATCTCAAATAAAATCATACTTTAATTATGACATTTTTCTTTTAAATAGATCTAAATCTGATATGCTTGTCAAACTTGAATGTTGAAATCACTTTTTTTACACTACTGAAGAATTACGTATTGTGATTAGACACAAAAACTTTTTATAAATCTCAAATAATTGAATTCAAACTTTTTATATATGATTGTTAATTTTATGTTTTATTATTTATACTAACTTTGTATTTGTTATTGTAAGTGATTGAGTTAAAATATTATCAGATTTTTCATTAGTATTTATTGGTAGACTTGGAAAATCTTCTTGTCGAAATTTAAATGGAGTTTCATCATCATTAATATGATAACCATTTTTATAATTAAAATTTTCATGTTGTTGTATAGAATGTGAAGAAATTTGTTTATTATTTGTTGAATAAAAATTAGAACGATTATTAAATTTTGTTGATTCTTGTTGATTATAATGATTATTTCGATAATTATTTGAACGATATGATTTATGATTAATATTACCACCACCACCACCACCACCACGTTGTTGTTGATGAAATGATGATATTCGATTAGATTTTGATTGTTGATATGAATAATTTGTTAATGATTGTTCATTATAATCAAATGGATAAAATGTTGATGTTTGATTATTTGATGGATAAAGTATTTGTGTTTCCGAATAACATGTATTTGTTGGTAGAAGAACAATTTGTGATGAATTTGTATTTGTTGATGATTGTAATTTATTATTTGAACATCTATCAATATGATATTGTGGTGATGATTGTATATGAAATTCAATTTCAGGAACTTTTATTAATGGATAAACTAATTGTTGTTGTTGTTCAGATGAATAAACAGATGCAGCAGTATTTTCACTAATATATAATGGTATAGTTGTTGTTGATGGAGGAATTTGAACAAATGGTACAAATTCTTTTGCTTCAGGTGAAAGAGCAAATGATGGAGATGTTGTCATTTGTTTTTTTTTTATTTAATCATAGATAAAAATCATCAATAGCAACAAAAAGAAAAATAATATATAATCAGACGAACGAAAAAAAAAAGTAAGTTGTTAGTTTTAGGTATTGTATGGATTTATGTAACAAAATGAGAAATAAAAAAAAATATATATTTAAAAGAAAATTTTAAATATAAAAAATTAAAATGAGAAATGTTATTTTTTCTTTGAATTATATCGATTGTCAGAACAATTATGATTGGTTAAAATGATTTGATCAATAATATTCAATGTACTAAAAGACATCATTAGTCTTGTGTTTTGATCATTAACAACATTTGTATAAAAACATGGCTTTAGCAAATGTATTAGGTTTTAATTCGAATGATGAATTCAATCGTTCAATTCAATGTGAAAAAACTGATGATAATATTGATGAATTTTGTCCAAAATTAAATATAGACAATATTTCAAAATTTATTACTTTACCACCTTATGCTGATGTAAAATATTTTTTTTTTGTTATAAATATTTTTCTGTATTGTTATATTTCTTTTTTTTTCAAGCCTGCAAAATATTTAAAAATGATCAATGAAAATGTTGATCGAGTTAAAATAAAATTTCTTAAAGGTACAACAACATTAGCATTTAAATTTCGTAATGGAGTTATAGTAGCTGTAGATAGTCGTGCAACAGCTGGTGGTTTTATTGGTAAGTTTATTTAGTTAAGAAAAAAAAAAAAGAATTTTACTAATCATAGATTAATTTTTTTTAAGCATCTGGAGAAGTAAAAAAAGTTATTGAAATTAATCCATATTTATTGGGTACAATGGCTGGTGGTGCTGCTGATTGTGCTTTTTGGGAACGTGTACTTGCTCGACATTGTCGTATATATGAATTACGTAATAAAGAAAAAATATCTGTTGCTGCAGCATCAAAAATTCTTGCTAATATGATCTTTGAATATCGTGGTATGGGTTTATCAATGGGTACAATGATTATTGGTTGGGATAAACGAGTATGTAGATATTATTTCTTTTTTTTGTGTTTATTGTATTCATTTAGGGTCCTGGTTTATATATGGTATCAGATGATGGTGAACGTATTAGTGATAATTTATTTTCAGTTGGTAGTGGATCAATATATGCATATAGTATTCTTGATGCTGGTTATAAGTAAATAAAAATTAATAAGGTCGAGTTAGATCTGGGCTTGGATTCGTCCTATAATACCTATATTTTATTGAAAAAATTTCACAAGATTTGACTGTGCCCTGAGAGAGAGTACAGGAGTTTTCGCGACGCTCCCCTTCCCTCTCGGTCATCATTTTTTATGAAAAACTCAGGAGATGAGAATAGATGTTTCTTGAAAGTAAAACATATATATTTGAGATATGGCTCGACGTACAATACCTAAATTCTTTTAGTGAAAATAATCGTAAAATTCAGAAAACGAAATTCTATAATTTTGAAAATTTGTAATCCGAGGCCAGAGTTAGATTTTGAGTAGTACTTTTTAATTTATCAAGGAAGTGTTTCAATTGAGAAAATGATTTTAGAAACTGCGTATAGACAGACCTTAACACGTCTAGTTCATTTTGAAAGTTTCTGGTATTTTGATTTGTTTTTATTCTGAAATAAGAACATCAAATGTGCCGATTTATAGAAACGATGTAAAAACACACAGAAATACTATGTTCGTCAAAGTCTATTTCTATATAAATTTTCAATTCGGAGCTGAAAAAGTAATGTTTTCGAACCATGACGTTTATTTAAAAAATATCATAGAAGTGTAGTGACTGTGCAACAATATGATAAGAGCACAATCTCTTTGTCATAATTTCATAGGTCATTTGGATGTACATCTCGACTCAAAAGCAATTTATTAGTTGAAGAACTAATCTCATTAAAATGAGCTGTGTAGATTTTCTTTAAAACTCTTAGCTCAATTCTGAAACGCTGTATTAATGTTTTAAACGAATGAGCGTTCTGATCTTACACAATCACTGAAATCATTTATTAGAAGATTGTAAAAAAAAACAAACTTTTACCATAATGATGATGATTTGAATATAGTCGGGTAACTGTAATGCTTGAAAAAACACCACGAGAAGACTTATTGAGCTGAGAAAGTAAGAGGCGTTCATCGGCACTCCATTTTTCTTTTTTTGAAGTTTATCATTTATTAATATATACTTTCATGTTAGTTTAGTTCATATTTTTAATGATACTGTTTCACTTCAATAACATTCATGCCGCTTAATGCTATTGATGATGCATTCAGTCTTGTGTGTAGATGAAGAATTCCTGATTATTATCAGTTTTGATGTGTAAAAACTCATATAAGAAATTTTGACGCAATATCAGACTAATACTATTTATTTTTTTTTGAGTAAAAGTTATCTACAAAAAGTGTTAAGGTATATGGAGATACAAATTTGGAGTCCTACAAGATTGTGACAGATATTTCGACATGCCATTCGCCAGAACTCATTAGTCACTCTTTAATAGTCTATAACTGAGTAATTAATAAAAATAGGTTTGAAGGGCATAGAGAAATAAAACGACCTATTCCCTACAGATTGTGATAGATAAAAATGATCGACGAAATTCACTACAATGTTTTCTTAACAATAGAAATAGATCAATCGTGTTTTACATTTTTATCCAACAAGAATTACGCTAGAAAATCTTTCTGTTTTCGTACGTAGGAAGTCTTTCTTGAAAAAAAGAAATAAAGTTCAGGTTACGCGATTGATTTCGAGACTTGATGAGTCTTAAAAACTTTTATTTTTGGAAAGCATCGAAAATGTAAATAACTCATAAGCGAAGAAAAACAGTTGTTTTTTCTTTTTGATTAGAGTTTCTCTTTTTCTATTTCGAGATATATTTTATTCTAAATGTGTATTATTTTTTGTTTTTAGGTATGAAATGAGTACAACTGATGCAATTGATCTTGCTCGTCGAGCTATTGTACATGCTGCACATCGTGATGCTGCTTCAGGAAATATTGTACGAAGTAAGTATTAATTCTTTTTCTTATTGATTATAATTATATACATATTTATTTATTTAGTCTATCATATGAAAGAAACTGGTTGGGAAAAGATTGAAGAAAAAGATACAAATGATTATATGTATCAATATCTTGCAAACAAAACTATGAATTTTTAAACAAATTTCATTAGCTAATGATTAAACTTTTTAGAAAAAGAACAATACTTGCTAAAATCTTCTTCTTTTTTTTTTCTTGTTTTTATATATTAATCACGAAGTGTGAATAGAAAACAGAAAACAAAAAACAAAATAAATAAATTTTTTTATGTTCTAGATTATTCAAATGTTTAAGTAATGACTGAAAGTCATTCAATTCGTTATTGGTTTGCATTAATTATTTCTACTATTGTTTCTATTATTGTTGCTTTAGTTATTATTGCTCTTTGTAAGTATTAAAAAAATCTTCGAACAGTAGTAAAAATATATTTCTTAAAAACAACTTGAGTAGACTCAAATTGATCTCTTAATATTTTTCGATTATCTCCTATGTAATTAATTTGTAGTATTTTCATTGCATTCATCATGTCAATTCTTCAGCGATCTAGTTGCCAATAGTACAAGATTAGTTTACTTAACTTCATAGCAAAAAATAAAGATACACGAAATATGAATATAGTCACAGTTTCATCCAAAAAAATATAAAATGATTGTCAAGCGAAATTCAATATAAAAAGAACATTCTCAAACCAGTGATTTTGGGTGTCCGAATCCATGGATTTCAAATAGGAACTAAGAAGCAATAATTGAATGTAGTGATTGGATTATCCTAGTTTCGACTGTAACTGGACAGAGCTCATCATTATTTTCCGGGCATATATTTCTTTACCTGCTTAAGTCAAACAAAATCTTTGTGACAACGATTTCGAATTGTTTTTTTTTACATTCTAATACTGTTCGAAGATTTTCATGTTCTACGTAAAGAAAAAAAAAATTCATTTTCATATATTTAAAATCTTTGTTTTAGCTTGGTATTTATTGTGGAAATTTATTTTAAGTCGTTTTGGTGTTATTCGTGCTTTATTTCAATTAAATAATAACGATCAACAAACAAATAAACAAACAACATCAAAACAAAAATCTTATCATCATCAACAAAGACGTCGAGAATGAGTTTTCCTATAGGTCGATGTCTATCATTATCATCTTTATCTGCATTAGCTTCATATCATTATGTACGTTCTATACATATTCAACATGAATCATTATGTACACGAAATGAAGCATGGTATCGTTCATTACCATTACGTGAAACATCTCGATTTTGGTCACGATTATTATCTATGAATATTTATCCTCGTTCGATAAGAAATCCTATATATAAATATTTTTGTCGTATATTTGATGCTGATATAAATGAATGTGAATATGGTCCTGATCATCTTGATTATTATGCTAATTTTGGAGAATTTTTTCGACGAAATCTTAAATCTAATGTACGACCAATTGATAAAGAAAATTTAATTGTATCACCATGTGATGGTGAAATACTTTCAAATGGTCTTGTAACATCAGTTGAAGATTTAAATATTGTTATTAAAGGTATTCCATATACAATAAAAGATTTATTTCAATTAGATCAATATGAAATTGAATATTTACAAAAGAAACAATCGGAATCATCACTTTTTTATGCTTGTATTTATTTAAATCCAGGTAATTATCATCATTTTCATAGTCCAGCAAAATGGAAAATTAATGAACGTCGACATATAACAGGTATGAAAAAAAAACACGAGGACAGATGCGCATAAAAATCAGTTTTCACTCAAATAGCTTTTTCTCTCAAAGAAGAATTAAAAAAAGAGTGTTATGATTGATTTCATTTTTTTGACTGAACCAAAAGTTTTTCGAACGATTTGCAACACATACAAATCGATTCAATTATTAATGCTGATTTTCTTTTGACTAGAAATATAAAAGACTTGACAAAATCAGCAAATATTAGTCAAAAAATGATTATCT